GGCTGCATCCGTTGCCCGCTCCCAGATGAGGAGGACACTGCTGTTTGGGGTCAACATCCATGTGGTACTGGTACCGTGGGTCCTGATTTGCGTGGCTTGGCTTATTCTAAGTTCCTCTCTCCTAGGGAACATCTGCGGCCTCTTAATTGGAGACATCTGTATCCTTTTGAATAGATTCCCATAAACCAGTCTAGGGAAATGTTGAATGGGGCCCTCCAAACCTCTTTATCTGGCCATTAGGACCCTCTCCTGGTCAAAATTGAATTTGGTTATTGTGAACTAGGACCTGGGAGAGACCAGGGTTTAAATTCCTGACTCTGCTGTGAATCTGGCTCCTGATCTTGGGCCAGTCTCAGTCTGTCCAACCTCCCAGGGTCACTGTAAGGAATAAAGGGAAAGCAAGGAAGAACCACGTATACCACCTTGGGCTGTTTGGAGGAATAGTTGGTTAGAAATGTAAAAATAAATAAACAAAAGGCCAACCCAAATAATCAGGACATCTGGAGCACTCTCATTGTGAGAAAAGGCTACAGTGTCGGTGCCTCTTTATTTTAGAACAGAAAGAGTGCCTATGGGGAGGCTGAGCTAGAGGAGTATAAAATAATGCACCATAGGGAGACAGCCTGGACTCTTTTTCTAGCTCTTCCTTAACTACTTGTCAAACTCAGATGGTTATGGCTACTGCTTTGGTGCAGATCTCCCTGAATCAACAGTTTCTCGTCTGGATAAAAAGTTCCCTTTCCGTCTGCTGAAGAGAATACCAGGAATGAAGTATGTTCCAGGGTCCATAGCAGAGAGAAGGGCTTCTCAGAGCAGGAAGTAAGTATGCCCATCCCAGTAAGGGAGTCATGTGCTCGAGAGCCAGTGTGGTGTAGTGGTTAAGAGCGGTAGTCACGTAATCTGGGTAACCGGGTTCGCGTCTCCGCTCCTCCACATGCAGCTGCTGGGTGACCTTGGGCCAGTCACACTTCTTTGAAGTCTCTCAGCCCCACTCACCTCACAGAGTGTTTGTTGTGGGGGAGGAAGGGAAAGGAGAATGTTAGCCGCTTTGAGACTCCTGAAGGGGAGTGAAAGGCAGGATATCAAATCCAAACTCTTCTTCTTCTTCTTCGATTGGCTTTAGATAAGAACATTAAAACATATGAATAGCCCTGCTGGATCAGGCTAGTGGCCTATCTAGTCCAGCCAGATGCCCCAATGGGAAACCCTCAAGCAGGACCCAAGCATTAGAGCCCTCTCCCCTCCTGGGGTTTCCAGCAACTGGTATTCAAAAGCATTGCTGCTTCCAACTGCAGAGGCAGAGCATAGCCATCAAGGTTAATATATATTGATAGCCCTCTCCATCAAGTTGTCTATTAAATCCATCTAGGTTGCTGGCCATTACTTCTTCCTATAGGAGCAAGTTGCTATTGTTTAACTATGTACTGTGTGATGAAGTCATTTATTTTATCTGAAATGACACCTCTCTCTTTTCAGGCTAAACCCAGCACCCGGTTCTTACCCCACTCAGAGCTATCACAGCTCCTCTCCTCCCTCCTTGCTTGCTGTTCATATGCAACACCCCAGTACATGCCCTCCTGGATCTCAGCCACAGTGCATGCCCAGTCCTGTGCTGAATCAGTGCACTGGTTCCCTTGGAGGGTCATGCATCCAGCACCATTTCCAATCTCCACCAGGATCCATCTCGCAGCATTTCAGTGGGCCTGACTCAGGGGGACCCAAGAGGACAGATTGCTCCAGTGTCCCCCACGCACCTGGGTTTCCAGCTGCAGGAGCAGCGTCAGAATCAGCAGAGCTTTGCCGAGTTCACGTAGGGTGACATTCCTGTATTCTACTGCCTGCAATTCATATGAGGATCGGCAAAGGTTTTCCCTCCAAGATGGGAGTCTCCTCCAGGTGGATGAAGGATTTTTAAAGTCCTAAACAGCTTCAATTCAGTGTACCAAAGAAACCACCCTCTCTCCATGTCTTGTGGCATCCCCTTACAATCAGATGGTGGTATTCTCTCTACTCAATCATCAGTGTAACACAAAGAGCTCCACAAATTCAGGGCTCCATCTCCTTGTTATAACCAAGCTTGAGCAATCTTACAAAACGATTCCATGTGGTTTTATCTTTTGAGAGGGTGGCTGGCTGGGCCAGGACTGGTAAATTTCTACTGTGCCTTTTCTGTATATGTGTGTGTGGCCTTGAATCATTATGAACCTTGAACCCTTGGATGGGGCATCCTACACATGTGATTTCATAAGACTATGGAAAGGTGGCAGCTAGCACCTGCTTGAAAGCATGGTGTCTTGAGGTGAGCTTTCTACAGGACATGGTCTGCAACCACAGACACCCTGAATCGGGGACTGTAGCCTACAGCTCTGATTTATTTTTTACAGGTATGTTCATTTGGGTTTGGGGGGTTATCTTGCTACTGATAAAAATCATTGTGACTTTGTATGAAATAATGCTGGTTTGCTTACAGTTCTGGGAAGGGCTATAGCTCAGTGGCAGAGCTCCCGCTTTGTTCAAAAAAGGTTCAATCTCTGGTATCTTAAAAAAGACTGGGTCGCAGGTGATGGAGAGCCTCATCTAGTCAGAGTAGATGTGGACGGGCAGGCAAATACTCTGGCCCTGCTAGAATGCAGCTTCCTAAGTTCCATGAAGTGAGGAAAGGGGAAGAGAGGATCTTCAGTCTTATCCCAAAACATACATAAACCAAATATATCTTGTACAAAGATCACTGTGGCTGTTTCCAATCACCCTGTGATTTTTTTAAGGCAGTGGGAGAACAGTCATTATATCTTCTATGTTCCAGGAGGCCTTGGCAGAGGCTAAGCTGCACAAGCCATTCTGAACTGCATCCCATGACAGTTGCAAATTGCAAATACCAAAATCCTCCCCCTTGTTTCATTTAAAATCCAGCCTGACGAACAGTTCTGGAGATGTTGAACGCTTCCTTGCACCTAGCTGGAGAGGTTACCATCTATCAGGGTGCTGTAGCAGGGGGATGGACTAGATGACCTGCAAGGTGCCTTACAAGCTTGGGATTTGACTTTATGACACTTCGGCTGGTCCAAATAAAGTGATTGCCATACTGTGGTTTATGGATGTCTCCTCCAATTTTTGTGTAGAAACCTCTCAAGCTAGCTGGCTCTTTAGTATGATGGTGTGGGGGCTGGTTGCTGGATGGGAGGAGCACTGCAGGGGGAGCTGGCTGTGTGCTGTCTGACCATATGAGGACATAGGTCCTTCATTCTGAGCTGTACTTCAGCCATCAGCTGTGCTGGACATTTTCAGTCCCCAGATTCAACACCTGATGTCACAGAGATGGGGAGAATGCGGCATTATGCCATCCTTTCTTTTGAACGCTTTGGACAACTGATTGCTTTTCCCCAGGACTGGCATTTCCTCCAACAGAGGTTATGACGAGACATCATAAATCTTTTAAAAATGGACAGCCTGCGTGTAGTTTGATCTGGAATATAAACAACTTGAAACACCACTATTCCTCTTGGCTTTTAAAGGGGCCATAATGCTGCGTGTAGGGACGCGGGTGGCGCTGTGAGTAAAAGCCTCAGCGCCTAGGGTTTGCTGATCAAAAGGTCGGCGGTTCGAATCCCCGCAGCGGGGTGCGCTCCCGTTGTTCGGTCCCAGCGCCTGCCAACCTAGCAGTTCAAAAGCACCCCCGGGTGCAAGTAGATAAATAGGGACCGCTTACTAGCGGGAAGGTAAACGGCGTTTCCGTGTGCGGCTCTGGCTTGCCAGAGCAGCAATGTCACGCTGGCCACGTGACCCGGAAGTGTCTCCAGACAGCGCTGGCCCCCGGCCTATAGAGTGAGATGGGTGCACAACCCCAGAGTCTGGCAAGACTGGCCCGTACGGGCAGGGGTACCTTTACCTTTAATGCTGCGTGTAGATGGTTTTCTCAGGTGCTTTAATGAGGCATTGATGTGTGATAGGGGTAGGTGTGGGGAAGGCCATGTCTGCCCCCATGTTAAAATTCCTTCCCATCAGCCCCAGCCAGCACCTGTAGTCCAACCACACTTGGAGGTCCAAAGGTTCCCCACCCTTGGTGGTTGGGGGGCGCAGGCGGAACGAGAGAGAGAATGCACAAAACCATTGAAGACGTCGCCTTACTTTATTTATAGGCCACTTTTTCTGCCAAAAGACCTTTCAAGTAGCTTTCTGAACAACTATCAGAGAAATGGAAAACCCACCACGGCAAAAGATAAAATAAAAGTCTAGCCATGCAAAGTAGCTGGTTCTACAGAAGAACTATCTAAACTCACTCACATGAGAGAGGATATGGAAATCTATAGACTTAATAAAATGCAATCTGTATAAGAAATGCTTTCAAAGGCTAGGATCCAAATGCCTACATAAAAGATCAGGCAAAAGGTTCATCCTGCTGCTCACCCTGCCCAACAAGGTGATTCGGGGGATCCTCCAAGCAGGACCCGAGTCCAGTAGCCTTTGCCTCCTCGTGTTCCCCAGAAACTGGGCCTCTGGGTAGACACTGAACAGCAAGGATGGGAATTGCCTGCAGCCCTCCAGGTGATGATGGACTCCCCCAACGCCCATCAGCCTCACCTGACATAGTCACTGGGGAGGGAGGATGGAAGTTGTAGTCCAACAATTTCAGGGAGGGAGGATGGAAGTTGTAGTCCAACAACGTCTGGAAAGCTACTAGGTTTGGGGGAAGCTGGTCTAAAAAATAGGAACAGAATCCCATTGAACAGAATCTTGCTGGCTGTATGGAGCAAGCTTTGAATGTTTAGCCTGCAAAAGAGGAGACTAAGAGGAGGTATGACAGCCAACTTCAGATATCTACAGAGCCATCACATGGAAGAGAGAGCAAGCTTGTTTTCTCCTGCTCCAGAGGGGAGGACCTGAACCAATGCTTTCTAGTGAGAAGAAAGGAGATTCTGACTAAACATCTAAAAGAACTTTCTGACAGTAAGAACTGTTTGACAGCGGAACCAACTTCCTTCAAAGGTGGTGGACTCTCCTTCCTTGGAGGTTTTTAAGCAAAGGTTGGATAGCCATCTGTCAGGGATGCTTTAGTTGTGTTGGGCTAGATGACTTGGGGTCCTTTCCAACTCTACTTTTGTGAATACACACGTGGTCCTCGACAAACTCCAATCACAAGGAGCCCAGAGGGTCCTGCTTTAGCTGGCCGAGGATTCCCATGCCCTTTCTCGGGAGCAGTTGAGAGCTGATCCATGGAACTAAAGGGGCGACACGCACAAAGGTGGCTGATTGGCTGGTCTCCTTTCCTTTGCTTTGACTTTCCACTGAAGATGTAAAGATTCCCTCCAGGTAAAGCTGCCCGTCCTCTCCTGGGCAGACAAAAAGCCCTCCTGTACTCAGCTATCAAGAGAGACAGAAAACCAAAATGTGAAGATGAGCTGCCAGAGGATTGCAACTGGAAAGCTAGCAGCCAAATTCAGAAGCATCACTGCCTCTGACCCTGGAGGCAGAGCATAGCCATCACCCATGAAATTCAAAGCAACAGGGTAATTACCTGAGGGTCCTTTTTGAGGTTGGATGGATGCGCACAGGTGGAGGCCAAGGAAGAGGTGGGGACGCAGCTGTCCAACAAGGTCACGGTCCACTGAAGGATGTCGGGGTGAGCTGCTGGAAAGGAACGCCACAAGCCTCTAAGATCTGCCTGCCCTCTTTGCTCTTTCTCCCTGTGGCTTGTGATCTTTTCTCCTCCAAGCCCATCAACCTTGGCTGCTCAAGTCTCCCATAAATAGCTCTCATTACAATTCAAATTGAGTGGAGCAATGTGAAATCTGCTTTTCCTAACTCATGGACTATGCTTTTCTACGCTTTACCCAAGATCCCTGCAATGCTTTTACACATTACTCGTTTTATCTCTTCAATGCTTTTACACATTACTCGTTTTATCTCTTCAAGACAGTTTGCAAGAGAGAAATAGTACCCCACGATTTCCCCAGCCATTCTTGTTTTGGAAGTATATGTTTATATTTTTGATGACAAGGATAAACCAGACCAGCAAGCAACCAGTGCCTTTTATAAGACCTCTCTTATTTGTAAGATTCTGAAGACAAACCAGAGGGTCAGTATTTTCTAATGTGAAAGTGCAGTATACAAACAAGCCTCTTGTGGGAGCCAATGAGTTAGAAATGCCCTAAATAAACCTATAGGGTGACTTTGCTATAATTCACAGGGTTTCCAGAGGACCTCCTGAAGAGGTGCTACAGCAATTGCATTGGTCCTTACTTGGACTTAACCCATGTGCAACTGTACTCATTCTATGTGCCTATTTTGTAGTTTTGCTTTTCATCTTTTAATTTTCGTCTGTTGTTACAACTGTTGTTTTTGTTTTATATAACATCATGAAATTAAATTTCAAAATCCTTTACCAAAATATAAAAATCCCAGGTAAGGACTGGGAAAGTGTGCTGCCTGAAACCCTGTCAGTTGCTGCCTGTCAGTGTAGATAATACTGAGCTATATATGGGTCCATTGTCTGGATAAGCCAGCTTCCTATTTTCCTATATATTTCCAGCTGTACAGCATTCCTGAACAACATCAAGCAACCTGTAGGCTAATAATATATTGACAATATTTATATAACACTATCAAACTGTTTCAAAATTCATAAACAGTGCAGGGAGTCACAAACTAATAAGAATCAAGTGTCACTCTTTCAGAGTTATTCCTCATGTTATAGTAGAGTGGTAATGGTAGAGAGGAGAGACGCAGGTGGCGCTGTGGTCTAAACCACTGAGCCTAGGGCTTGCTGATCGGAAGGTCGGCAGTTCAAATCCCCATGAAGGGGTGAGCTCCCATTGCTTGGTCCCAGCTCCTGCCAACTTAGCAGCTGGAAAGCATGTCAAAGTGCAAGTAGATAAATAGGTATCATTCTGGCAGGAAGGTAAACGGCTTTTCCGTGCGCTGCTCTGGTTTCCCTTAGTCATGACCTGGAAAAAACTGTCTGCGGACAAACGCCGGCTCCCTTGGCCAGTAAAGCAAGATGAGCGCCGCAACCCCAGAGTCGTTCATGACTGGACTTAACCGTCAGGGGTCCTTTACCTTTGCCTTTTTTAACTCTTCCATAAACAGAATGATCAGAATGGTATGACACTATAGTCTATGCCTTTTTGTACACATTACTTTGCTTGAGAACTGCACCACAAAATTTGGAGAAGTGTACATTTCAAGGGATGGCTGCAGTTCGGTTTCCATATTGTTTCAGAAACTGCAAATTAGGTAGATAGATATATGATTTTAAGTGAGAACGGAATTAAATTTTGCCCCATCCCCATGAGACACTCCCAGCCTCCAGAGACAGAAACACCTGTGGCTTACCACCACGTTCCTTTGATCCTATTGCCCAGCACCCAGTCCCAGGTGGTACAACGTGGAGCGGGTCAGGAAGGCAAATGGGATGGGTGGTCGATGTGATGGGTGCCAGTTTTGCCAGCTGGACTAATGCGACATCATCCTGGGCACCTGACGAGCGAGGGGTGATCTTGGCAACTGGATATAGCTCATCTGAAGAAGTGAGCTTTACAGAGTACAAGGAGATGTTTCTGCAAAGCAAAAAGATGGGCTGGAAGTTACATGTGATGGGGGGGGCAAGGGGGAGAGGATGGCATCACAAGAGAGTCATCAGGCTTGTATAGGAAAGCGGGAAGGTTATACAAAGCTCATTGGGTAACCTGGGGCCAGTCACCATCTAACCTACCTCAGAGGGTTGTTGTGAGGGTGAAATGGGGAGGAGGAAAACCAGTTACACCACCTTGAGCTCTTTGGAAGATAAAGGTGGCATATGAATATAGTAAATAAATAACTAATAAACACCTGTAGCTTGCTGCTGGTACAGAAGAAACAAATTAGAAGAGCCTGTTTGGTCAGGCCAATGGGGGCCCATCTAGTCCGGCATCCTGTTCTCACGGTGGCCCCCCAGAGGCCCCCCAAGGGAAACCCACAAGCAGGTCCTGAGCACAAGAAGCATGACTGCTGTTGAGGCAGAGCACAACCATAATGGTTAATAGCCATCAATAGCTCTCTTCTCCATGAATTTGTCCCATCCTCTTTTAAAGCCTCTTCTAAAGATTATCAAGGAAATTCTACTTGCGGCACTGCACCCTTCAGAATATCACAGGGTAGTCTCCCGAAAATGGGCATTTTCTGCTGCTGCTCCTGTTCATGTGAGAATGCCCTTCCCGCTGCCAGATATGGAGCATTGTGAAGACTTTTTATCTTTTTGCTCAGGCTTTCCCCTGCCCATGCAATTGGACCTTAACCTACGAAGGGTATTGTAGAGTTGGGAAAGCATCAGAAAATGGCAACCAAACTGATCGAGGGGATGGAGCTGCTCTCCTATGGGGGAAGAGCACTACTGTGATGGAAGTCCTACTCGCCAGCTTCCCATTAGAGTATCTTGTTGGCCACTTGGAGAACAGAACAGATGGGCCTGGGCTCAATCCAACAGCCAGGCTCTTTGGGGGTTATTTTGTCAAAAGGCAGGGAGTTCCAAAGTGCAGTGTGCTGCTGCACCGAAGGACTGACTTCTTGGTAAGGTGGGATGAGCATTAGCTGGAACTGATCGGCTTCTCGGCCACAAAACCCGTCTTCTGCCTTTACTTAACAGGATGAAGTTTTATTGGAGGATTACAAGCCTCAACATTCCTGCTTGTGACCTAACATGGGCTGTATAGTAGGCTGAATTGTGAGGAGGTGTGCGAGCGGGTGGTTTGCCCTTCCTTGGGACACTGAAAGCTGGGGGTCACCAGCTTCTAGCTCCCTCTGATTCCATGTCTCTGTACTTAGTGCAGAGGATACAAGGTTGGATTGCGAGCACCAGCCTCCCTCCCCTTGCTTTTTCACACTGCAGAATTTTGCAATACAAGTTTCTAGCCCTCGGGGCTTAACTCAGTGAGTTTGTTGGGGCAGTGCGTCTGCTTCTGGGATGCACAGTCAGCATATGGAATTCTGGTAAGGATTACATAAATGCTCAGATTGCGTTGGGGTGTAAATAAATTATTTATTTATATCCCGCCCATCTGCCTGGGTTTCCCCAGCCACTCTGGGCGGCTTCCAACAAAATATTAAAATACAATAGTCTATTAAACATTAAAAGCTTCCCTAAACAGGGCTGCCTTCAGATGTCTTCTAAAAGTCTGGTAGTTGTTCTTCTCTTTTCTCTTTCTCTTTGAGGTGAGGTGAAAGTATGGAGCCCTAATGCAGAATTTAATCTAAAAGCCTTCTCTCTCTCTCTCTCTCTCTCACTCTCTCTCACACACACACACACACACTTTTAACCAAACCATGTCCCGCTTAGTGGAATATTAGAACAGAATACTGTCGTACCTTGGTTACTGAATGCCTTGCGACTCAAACATTTTGGCTCCTGAATGCCGCAAACTCGGAAGTGAGTGTTCCGGTTTGCAAACGTTCTTCAGAACCCGAACGTCTGATGCGGTTTACGTGGCTATTGATTGAGTGCAGGAAGCTCCTGCAACAATCGGAAGCCGCGCCTTGGTTTTCTAGCGTTTTCAGAAGTCAAACGGACTTCTGGAACAGATTCCATTCAACAACCAAGGCACGACTGTATAACTTAAGAGCCTTCTGGATCAGACCAGTGGCCCATTTATTCCAGCATCCTGACCTCACAGTGGCCAACCAGATGCTCAATGGTGGTGGGAAACCTGCAAGCAGGATTCAGGCACAAGGGCACCCCCCACCCTGTGATTTCCAGCAGGCAGAACATAGCCATTGTGATAGCTATTATTATTATTATTGTTACTATTATCTCTCTTTTTTAAAATATTACTACTAACATCAAAGTCACTTCATCAAGGAAATGGGTTGATTCCTTTTGCCTTTAGCCAGATCCTGTGCTGAACTCGTTCACCATTGTGTCATAAAGAATGTTTATAAAATTATGCATGGTATGAAGAAAGTGGACAGAGCAAAGTTTTTCTCCCTTTCTCATAACACTAGAGCTAGTGGACATCCCATGAAGCTGAAGGTTGTGAGATTTGGAACAGACCAAAGAAAGGACTTCTTCACACAGTACATGGTTAAACTATGGAACTCGCCCCAACAGGAGGCAGTGATGACCACCAACTTAGATGGCTCTAAAAAAGGATAGGACAAATTCATAGAGGAGGGGGCTATCAATATATATATCAGCCTCGATGGCTATGCTCTGCCTCTGTGGTTGGAGGCAGCAATGCTTCTGAATGCCAGTTGCTTGAAATTGCAGGAGGAGACAGTGTTCCTGTGCTCAAATCCTGCTTGCTGGTTTCCCTATGGGGCATCTGGTTGGCCACTGTGAGATCAGGATGTTGGACTTGATGGGCCTTTGGCCTGATCCAGCAGGCTCTTCTTAGGTTCTTAAACTGTGCTGCAGAAAATCTAACATTCCCAAATTTTGATTATGTGTTATGCCTACTGGCTAATGCAATAAAACTGAAATATAGCTGTAACCTGCACCACCGGAGTCATTACTTCAAACCAGCCAAGTGGCTTAAGTTACCATTGTGTACACGCTTACCTGGTAATAAGCCCCATTGAATTCATTGAGACTTACTTTGATGTGGACATGTAGGGGCTTGCACTGTTAGTTTCATCAGCAGACAGCCAAGCTCAAATTTCACAGTTATTGACAAAGCCAGATAAATTTGAGATAGACAGGAGGAGCCAGATTTGCAGTTGAGCAAGCCGTGTGCTGAGGTTAATTTGGTGGGTTGAGAAACTTTATAGGATAAACGATTAATAGGGATCATAAACAGGAGCTCATTCTTACAATTCTACGAAGAAAACACAGCGATTGTGTTTAAACCATTCCTGATGCTGCTTCTATCTCATTTTCCTTATAGCAAGATTATTGATTGATTGGTCAGAAGAACTCTGTACTATGCTTAGGTACTGAGTAACTTCTGTGGAACTCTCTGCTCCAAGATGGCCGCTGGCCTAGATTAGGCAGCTATTTTGCCAAATGGATCTTCCATGTGCAGGGGAAATATACCTCTAATACCAGATGCCATGGGGACAAAAAACTGTTAAGGGAAACTTTAAATGAAATGAATGTTTTAAATCATGTTTGTTTGTGTTTTCAGAGTTTGTCCCTGGCTTACGCTGCATTTAATGTAGTAGGATTTACTATTATTATTATTATTATTATTATTATTATTATTATTATTATTCCCCACTCATCTGAATGAGTTTCCCCAGCCACTCTGGGCGGCTTACAGCATATCTAAAAGCATAATACTGTAATGATAATTGGCTCCAAACAATAATGAACCTTGAACTTTGGGTCCCAGCCAACTCTACAGTTCTATGATTCTAGGAATAAAGCAATAAAGTCATTAAAACAGTTTATGGGCATAAGCAGAGGTCAGGCCAAACTAGTTTAGCATCCTGTTCTCTCAAGGGACCAACCAGATGCCCAAGTGGGAAGATCCCAGGTAGGACCTGAACGCAACAGGACTCTCCCTGCTTGTGATTCTCAGGAATCCCTTTTCTAATGACCCCCAAAATTGAATATGCCTTTTTCCACAGTTGCCGCACATTGGGTCAGTGTCTTCAATGGAGCTATCCACTATGACCCCAAGGTCTCATTCCTAGTCAGTCTCTGCCAGTTCAGACCCCATAAGTGTCTATGCAAAATTAAGATTGATTTATTTATTTTTGCCGTGGTATACATCAGTTTACACTTGCTTACAGTGAATTCAGCACAGAAAAGAAATGTCAGCAATGGCATTCTGGAAACTCACCCAGATTCTACACAGTTCCTGGCGCTCAGCACCCAGTTTTCTGCAATCAGGCTTCCTGCACAAATGGGATCTCCGCCCTTCAGGACGGTGGCTGCCCAAGGCCATTTCCCATTCTTTTGCAAATCTTGGCCACCCCAGTTGCTTTTGTGATCCTTCTGGGTGCCTGCCTTGTCACCCACACCGTTAAAGGACAGCAATGACGGTTTCAACAAACAGAATCCGCTGGAATCTAAATGTGGGGGAGAGAACCGGTTTGTATCAAACAGAGTTCCTTTGGGTTCACAAACAACTGGTGTTCTTCATATTCTTCATATTCTGATCCTTTAGAAAAACCAACAATTTGAATTCTAAATATTGAAAATAAGTAGGCAAAAGTACATATGAAGATGCCTTAGGCTGAGTAAATCCCACCAAGCCAGTATGGTGGTGGCCTCCAGATGTTGTTGGACTCCAATTCCCATCAGGCCTGCCAACATGGGTCAACAGCAAGGGATGATGGGAGTCGTAGTCCAATAACATCTGGAGGATGCCATATTGGCTTCCCCCAATATGGAGTATTGGTGTGGACACTTGCAGAGGTGACTTGAATTTTTTTGAGGAGCACACTTAGAGTGGGCTTCCAATTCCACAGTTGCAAACTGCTGGATCAAATTTGAATCAATGTCATATGATGGCATGTGATTGACAGGTGGCCCATGGACAATGGAGGAGTTCTGGGTGGAGGGGGCCCCTGATTTAGTCTTCAGGGTCTCAGCCAGAAAGAGGTCTCTTTCCCTGCCAAACCTACCTCCTAGATCCATTTTTCATTTATTTTATTATTTTATTTATTACATTTGAATACTGCCCTATACTTGTGGGTCTCAGGGCAGCCCACAACACAAAGTTACAATATACAAAGCACAAAATATGTAATAAAAATAATAAAAATGTAACTAAAGGATAAAGTGCGAGACTGGTTACATTATGCTCAGATTAAGGAGGTTTTCAATATGGATAAAAAGTTAGGATTCCAGGTGGAAAAATCGAAACTAGAAACAGAATTGTTAGAACCTAAGACTAAGGTGCTGTCAAGAATGTATAACTTGCTGTTGAAATGGAACACACAAGATGAAACAGTCAAATCAGCTATGATAAAATGGGCACAGGACATTGGATATAATATCATGTTTGCTGACTGGGAAAGGTTATGGACCACCGGTGTGAAGTTCACGGCATGTAATGCCTTAAAAGAAAATATTATGAAAATGATATACAGGTGGTACATGACCCCGGTCAAGCTTGCAAAAATATATCATCTGCCTGATAATAAATGTTGGAAGTGTAAGGAGACTGAAGGAACATTCTTTCACCTATGGTGGACCTGCCCGAGAGTGAAGGCCTTCTGGGAAATGATCTATAATGAGTTAAAAAAGGTATTTAAGTATACCTTTCCCAAGAAACCAGAGGCCTTCCTTCTGGGTATCGTCGACCAGAAGGTGCTAAAGAAGGATAGAACCTTTTTTATGTATGCGACAACAGCAGCAAGAATCCTTATTGCAAAGCACTGGAAGACACAAGATCTGCCCACACTGGAAGAATGGCAATCACAACTGATAGACTACATGGAGCTGGCCGAGATGACTGGCAGAATTCGAGACCTGGGGAAAGAGGAGGTGGAAGAGGACTGGAAGAAGTTTAAAGATTATCTACAAAGATTTTATAAATTATTTGAATGTTAAGAAGGTGCTTGAAAGGAAGGAACTTGGCATCAGTAGCCTAGATGAGAAATGTATGAGAATAAGTTGAACTATAGGAATGGGATTCGAAGCAATGTTATGCCTAAACTAAGTAGCTTAATATTTGATGGAAACAATTAAAATTATAGGCATAACACATTAGAATTAGAACATAAGATTTGAAATAAGGTAATAAATTGCGGAATATAACTTTTGTCCGGAGAACACAGGAAAGGGAGACGTGAGGAAGTCCAGAGGGCTATGAAAAAATGTATGAAAGGCTGTGATTTTTTATTCTTATTTCTGTATACATTCGTTGTTTGTTATATGTTTGGTGATTTTCTTCTCTTAAAAAATGCAATAAAATTTTTTTTAAAATAATAATAATAATAAACATGTAATAAAAATAAAAATAATCAAAGCATAATAAAAACAATTAACAATACTAAGGTTTACATGCTGGAGGTGTCAGAAACGGAACCTCAGCACTGTATATATCTGGTAATCAGGGAAGAGGAGGAATCAGCTGTCCAGGGTGCTGAAGCCCCACCCTGGTGATCCTGCCAACTCCCACCTTCCTCGCCTAATATAGTCCATGACGCAGCCCTGAGGACTAGAAGCTTGAGAGATGCATGTGTAGGTTTTAAAAAATGAAAGGGGTGATTCTGTGCTGGTGTGGGGCTGCAGAACACAGACAGGCATGGAAGTTTTTAACAGAACAGCTCAGAGGATTGTGGGCAAAGGATCTGGCCCCTCCTAGTCAAGTAGGTCTATCTACATTTCTGGCCTTTGGCAGACTACATCAGAGTCTATTGCCTCCCTCCTTGGTAAATATATTGGCAGTGTTTGCACACCGTGCTAGGACACTGTAGCACCTCATAACTGAATTCCATAATTCCAAAATTCTGGTGTCACGTACAAAAAAGAGATCTGTGTGTATCTGACGGATTAAATCTGCTGGTGGGTTGGAGCAGAATAAGCAATGCTTGTTAAATAAGTAGAGAAAATCACAGAAGGAAGGAAGGAAGGAAGGAAGGAAGGAAGGAAGGAAGGAAGGAATTCAGTCTGGCTCTCTACAAGGGGATCATTCTCTGGTGTAGTGCACAATCTCTTTAGAAATACAGCCTGAAGAAATTAAGGAGAATATTTTTATTTTTATGACATTTATATCCCACCTTTTCTCCAAAGAGCTCAAGGTGGCATACTAACCTCTCGCCTTCAACATTTAATGCTGCCTTGTTTTCTTTTCAGTGAACTGTAAAAACCTCAAGAAGTCTTTCTTTGTTTGTTTGAGAGCGGGATAAAAATGATTTAAATCAAATAAATAAATAAATAAATAAATAAATAGCGTACTGTACTTTAGTGGCACAGCCCACCTTCAATATGTACGTTCTCTGCATCTACCAGGACTCCGGTTTCATTGTGAGTTTCTCGGTAGCCATGCTTCATTTCCTGGGTCACATTGCTGGGGCTCAGTTTCGACACTTGGGTGCTTCTGCGAAAACTTGGCAGCTCTGAGGTTCTGGATTTTGGGCCAGCCCTGGAAAAATAAATCAGGAGATGGCAGCCCCCCAAAGAGGTTTTCCTGCCTAATCCCTGCTGGTCTGCCCTCGAAACTATGAATATTGTGGATAAAGTTGTAGCTTTGTGGCAGAGTTTCTACTCTGGATGCAGAAGGTTCCAGGTTCAATCTATGGCATGTCATAAATCAGATCTTTATGGAGAATCATGTGGACTAGTGTCTCACTTTTAGTGAAAAACAGGCATTTTTGCAACCCATTTCCCCATATGCACTTTCGTTTGTCACTTTCACTAATACATGCTTCTTTTTTTGGCACACATTTACTTGCTTTGCAAGCTGGGTTGCAAAATTTTGAGACATGCAAATTTCAAAGGTGATTGCATTTGTGTTCCCATCACATTTCAGGAAGTCTGGATTCAGCAGATTCACCTTTAAGCGTAAACGGAACCAAATTTCCCCGCCATCCTTCCTTCTGACTCAGTCATCCCCAGTCCCTTCTCTATTTCCACTTGCACAACAACAAACTGATAGTGCTTTTCCCCTCCTTGGTTGGCAGCTTTAGAATCCAAGTCTGCTTATTTGACTGCTTATTTTATCCAGCTCCAGACAGACTCAGATTCAGCTGATGCACCAGTCACCCTGTCATGATTAAATGCATCTTGTATCTTTAAAGATGGATTTTACTAAGTTGGCAACCCTAATAAGCAGAAGCACTAGGGCCATCTGGTGTATTTGGCAGTCTAGTAAGGTCATGTTTGTTAGGGACATTTATGCTTGTGATATAATCCCATATAGTAATTTTAAAATATTTATCAAACCTCTTTATTCTATTCTGTCCTTTTAAAAGTTGTGCTTTTAACCCACTTGGATTGAAAACTTAAGTTAGTCCCTAGTCTTTATTGAGACCAAGTCGGAGAGTGTCAAACTTGCAAATGCATTCCAAAATGTTTCCTCCTCCTGTGCCCTACTCGGGAGGGCAGGAGCTCTGGAGAGACCTAAAGGCTCCTTTCATGGACACCCACCTAGCCAATATAGGAAGATCCTAAACTCTGCATTCATTGGATTTCAAGGGCAAATATAGACACATTTATTTTCTTTAGTTAACAGTGAACTGCAGGAGAAGCAGCTTAACCTACTTCAATTCCTGGATGGGCGACCTTCGATATTGCAGGTTTAACACACCCTTAGCAAACGTGTTGTTGATCTGAAAAAAAGAGAGATGTGGAGATGAGAACCTCGCTTAAAACTATTCTATGTACTAAACAACACAAATCCAGTTAAAGTCCTTTCCAGGTACATGTAGTATTTTCCAAGTTTACATGTGATCAACTTCTGGGTCCCTGAGAGAAATACTCTTTTCGGTTGACCTTCTACTGAGTTTTCATAGTGAAGCTAGAAAATCCCCACTAGTTTGGTGAAAAATGAAAAAAGCCTCCAGATATGATTGATTCTGTACAAAACGTCCCACAAAACACATAACTTTGTTGTCTGAAGGACAAGGCATAAGGCATTCCATGGATGGAAGTTAAACAGACAGGCTGTTGGATCTCCGTGCTGGCGATGGGCCCAGCATCCTCCATCACACCTTGAGAGCAGAAGGCTAGTTCAAGGGAATGTAGAACAGGGTGCGTAAATTTGCACACCGTTCTGTCATCCAATGCTGAACTGCCACCCCTCAGCATCTACCACCTGAGGCAACCTCCTCACTCCGCCTATTGGAAGGGATGAAGGGGAAGCAGCAAGAAAAGTCTAAAACCATCTCCGACAGAAAGAGAAAAAAGGGTGAAAGAAGGGGTCACAGAAAGAGAAAGAGGTGTCAGATAGAGGGAGACAGTTATGTAGAGAGAAAAGGGGGTGTCAGAGAGGGAGAGAAGGGGGATCAGAAAGTATTATACACAGAGAAAAAGGGGTGTTAGAGAGAAGGTGTCTCAGAAAGGGCAAGAGAGAAAGGGGTGTCAGAATGAGGGAGGGAAAGAGAGAAAGGGAGAGAAGGGGTGCCCAGGTTTTGTCTCTGAGCCCACCCAAACTGGCTATGAGCCACTGCCACCATCATGGGCGTAGCCAGGACTTATGTTAGGGGGGCAGAACCGAGCTATGTGAGATGTGATTGGTTAAGTATTTTTATTTATTTACTTGATGGAGGAGTGCAGCTGCCTCCTTGCCCCCCCCTCGGGCTAGACCCATGGCCAGCGTGCAGCCCTTGACAGCTTACCACGCTGTCCTCAACTGGGGGCAGGAAATCAAAGTTCCCCACCACTAGTTCAAAACGTGGGGCGGCCCTTCTGGGCTGCTACGGTCTGGTAGCTCCTTCACGAGGCCCAGTCAGGCGGCCCTGTTGAGCTGCAGCTCCTCCCTTTGACTTCCTGGGGCCTACCCTTGTTATGTAGTGTAGTTTCACCCTGGGCCAACAGGGGGGTACTGTATATAGTTTTCACTCAGGTCTGTAGATAGTTTTCACTCAGGTCCGCGGCAGTTATTTTAGGCGGGAACTCTGGGCTGTTGTGGTTACAATGTTGACAGCCGGCTGCCTATAAATACAGGCCGGCTGAGCTGTTCGCAGTCAGTTGTATTCCAGCTTACCAGAATAAAGAGCTACTTGAAGAAATCGCTGTGCCGGCTGCTATGTCAACCCACGACTTAACACTGGCGACGAAGGTGGGATGGATGGACATCAGAGCACAGCCAGATGCGGCCAGCCTCTGAACTGAGCTGAATCACTGAGCTGAATCACAGAGCGAAATCACTGAGCGAAATCACTGGGCAGAACCAATTCAGAGCTGACTGTTCTGGCTAGAGCACTGTGTTCCATCCATCGCCCTTCACGCCGGCATCGGAATCATGGCTTCACTTGTGCCTCTACCGCCGTTTGCGCCAGCCTCTGAATCGTGGGACTCCTACCTCGCTCGGTTCGACTGCTACCTCCAAGCCAACGAGCTGACAGCAGTATCAAAGGATCGGAAGCGGGGCCTATTCCTCAGCCTCTGTGGGCCTGAGGTGTTTGAGACGGCCCGAGCGTTGGTTGCACCTGAAGCAGTCCAGGCAACACCATGGGACACGATCCAAGAGAAGCTCCGCAACCACTACGCACCAAAGCCGTCCAAGATTGCTGCCCGCCATGCGTTCTACCACCGGAACCAGGCAGAGGGGGAGTCAATCAACAACTACACCACCGCCCTGCGACAGGCTGCAATGCACTGTGAGTTCCGAGACTTAGACGATGCCCTGATGGATCGAATCGTCTGCGGGGTCCGGGACATCCATCTGCAACGGCGCCTCCTAGCCAAGCCAGACCTCACGCTACAGAAAGCCATTGAGGAGGCTGTGGCCTCAGAAGCTGCTGAACGCTCCGCCCAGGAGATCCGCAAGTCCAGCAGCCCGCGTCTTGCTAGGGAGCCAGTTCCGGTGCATCATGAAGAGGCCAGCAGTGATGAGGCATCCTCCAGTGAAGACGATGACGTGCACCAGACAAAGCGGGAGCGCAGGAAGTTCCAACAGAAGTCCAAGGGCCAACCGGAATGTGCTGGCTGCGGAGGCAACCATTCCCGTGCCAAGTGTCGATTCAGAGACGCCATCTGTAGGAAGTGTTCCAGAAGGGGCCACATCGCTAAGGTCTGCCGATCGGCTCCGTCTGACACCCCCCCCTTCATCGACTCGCAAGTCCAAGTCTTCACTCCAGTCTGCCAAGGAAAGTTGTTTCGCTCTCACCAACTGCCGCTGCCCGTCTGGAACCACGATTGGCCAAACCGACTCGCCTACGCGACGCAAGCTGAACGTCACGGTGCTCATTGAAGGAGCTCCATGTGACATGGAGATCGACACCGGGTCTGCCCTGTCCATCGTGTCATGGAGCACCATCAAAAGACTGGTACCCAGAGTGTCCAAAAGGCAACTCGACTCTCACCGCGTACACCTGAGAGACTACCAGGGAAACGACATTCCCGTGGTAGGCGTTGGCCGGTTCCGGATCGCTTTCAAGGATTTTTCGGGCCTGCTCCGGTTGGTGGTGGTCGAAGGTCAGCGGCCAAGCCTCCTAGGGCTAGACTGGTTTGATGCCCTCGGCCTGGAAGTCACCGGCATCAACTGCATCTCTAACGCAGAGACTGAGGGTCTGGTCAAAGACTTTGCCGAGGTTTTTGACGGCACCTTGGGCCAATATACAGGTACGCCCATCTCCTTTAGCCTTGATCCACAAGTCGCCCCCATCAAGCTAAAGCCACGCCGGGTTCCCTTTGCTCTCAAGGCTAAGGTGGACGAACAACTGGACAAACTGATCGCCCAAGGAGTTTTGGAGCCGGTTGACCACGCAAAGTGGGAAACCCCCATCGTCACGCCTGTCAAGCCAGATGGGTCGGTGAGAATCTGCGCTGACTACAAGTGCACGATCAACAAGGCACTTCAGCAGCACGCTTATCCGGTTCCTGTTGTCCAACACCTGCTGCATTCCCTGGGTGAGGGTAAGGTCTTCGCTAAGCTGGACCTTGCCCAAGCCTATCAACAACTGCCAGTCGATGATGCCACTGCGGAAGCCCAGACGATCGTCACCCACCGGGGGGCATTCCGTTGCCGCCGGTTGCAGTTCGGGGTGAGTGTGGCTCCTGGCATCTTCCAAAGCCTTATGGAGCGTCTCCTGCAAGGGCTTCCGGGCGTGGTACCATATTTTGATGACGTCTTGGTGTCTGCAGACTCACACCAGCAGCTGTTCGAGCGCCTCCGTGCCGTGCTGACCAGGTTCCAGGAGGCCGGGCTCAAGGTAAAGAGGGAGAAGTGCCAGATCGCCGTTCCACAGGTAGAGTTCCTGGGCTATCTTATCGATGCCTCCGGTCTTCATCCAACCACATCCAAGATCCGCGCTATTCAGCAGGCCCCCACCCCAAAGAACAAAACGGAGTTGCAGGCATTCCTGGGGCTGCTGAACTTTTATAACATGTTCCTGCCCCACAAAGCCACAGTGGCTGAGCCTCTTCACCGACTCCTTAGCACTAAGACGCCTTGGGCCTGGGGTCATCGGGAGACGGCGGCCTTCAACGCGGTCAAGGCTCTCCTTTCTTCAGACAGTGTGCTGGTACAGTACAGTGAATCCAGGCCGCTGGTCCTTGCCTGCGACGCCTCACCTTTTGGCATCGGTGCTGTCCTTAGTCACCGTTTTCCAGATGGAAGAGAAGCACCGCTCGCCTACTTTTCCAGGACACTATCTCCGACGGAACGGAATTACAGCCAGCTCGACAAGGAGGCATTGGCACTTGTGGCTGGAGTGAAGAGGTTCCATGAATACCTCTATGGCAGGACTTTTGACCTCATCACTGACCACAAGCCACTCCTGGGCCTCCTCGCCGGTGATCGTCCAACTCCACCGGTCCTCTCACCACGCATGCTGCGATGGACTGTTTTCCTGGCTGCCTACCACTACCGGCTCATCCATCGCCCGGGGAAATCGATGGGCCATGCCGACGCCCTCAGCCGTTGCCCTCTTCCAGCATTTGTGGAAGACCCGGCTCCAGCTTCATCGCTCCTTCTGATTGAGGATCTTCCGGCAGCGCCTGTATCGGCTGCCACTGTGGCCTCCGCATCTGCCCAGGATCGCACCATCAGCCGGGTGCTCAACTGGGTGTGGAGGGGGTGGCCACAAGGGCCTTTTGCATCGGAGTTCCAGCCCTTCGCAACCAGACAACATGAACTCTCAGCTCATCGTGGCTGCCTGCTGTGGGGAGACCGCGTCGTGATTCCCCAGGGACTCCGTCAGCGCATCCTGGAGGCTCTGCACATTGGCCACCCGGGAATTGTCAAAATGAAGGCGTTGGCTCGGTGTTACGTCTGGTGGCCTAATATGGACGATGCCATCACTGCCTGGGTGTCCGCCTGTCAAGCGTGCCAGGAGTCGAGGCCTGCACCACCGGCAGCTAAGGGACACACCTGGGAGACGCCAAAGACACCCTGGTCGAGGGTGCACATCGATCTGGCTGGCCCCTTTCACGGCCGGACCTTTATGGTAGTGGTGGACGCCTATTCCAAATGGCTGGAGGTCGCCCTGATGCCCTCCACCACTACCGAAGCTGTCATCCGGGTGCTGCGAGGCCTGTTTGCAACGCATGGGTGTCCTGATGTCCTTGTCTCTGACAACGGACCGCAGTTCACGTCAGGCACGTTTGAGCGGTATCTTTTGGGACTGGGCATCCGCCATGCCCTAACGGCACCCTTTCATCCATC